GACAGCCAGTTTGCCTGCACCCCAACTTTTTCCCAAGCAGTGCCCCAGCAGCCAGATGCACTGGAAGGACACTCAGATCCCTCAACTCCCAAACAAAACCATTCCGCTCCAGGCTGACTCTGCCTGGAAGTCAACATTCAAGGCACATTAATAAGAAACATCTGGCCATCGAAGACGGTTGACACAGCACAGGCGGGCAGTGGTGGATTTGTGGTCGGGACCCAGAGTTACAGGGACTGAATTGGAAACACCAGCCAGTCCAGGCAGTGCTCCACACTGCTGCGCTGTGGCACTTGGTGACGCTACCAGGCCCGGGTTGAGTTGTTTGGGGCCTAGTTACCTAGGCACAGGGTGGTGCCAAGCCTCTCAAGCTCTCCCATCAGGGAAATGCAGCCTGAACCGGGCTCTCCTGCGTCCTCCCATGTCTGGCCACCACTTCCACCTTGAATATTTGTAGCAGATGTAGCCCGGCTTTTAAAGGCACAGACTTTGCATTCTTTCCATGTGACTTACAAGTCAGATTGAAAAGGAGAGAATTTTATTTACTTTTCTCCCTGCAGTGTTGTGCAGGTTTTAAAGAGTCCTACCTCCATTTATGCAAGGCAAACCCAGGACACTGGTCACCGCAGGCGTTACATGGCTGGCCTCTCTCTATCCGCCCCAGTCCGGTCAACTTCAAAACAAAAAGATAACACAGGCCACGTGTGAAGATGAGGGCTTCCTCCAAAACCCCACTGTGCCCCAGATAGGATGGCCTGCCTCTTCCACCCCACCTCCCGGGATCTGAGTCAGGGTTCCTCTGCTATGTGGGGGCCTGGGTTGGGGGGCTGCCAGTGCCCCAAGTGTGGCCTCTGCCTAAGACAAGGCTGCAGACCCAGGTGGGCTGTCTCCAGTATCAAAGCACTAAGAAATGGCTTTGGCTGGGGCTTTGTCTCCCCCCAGACACATTGGTCACAGGTTTCTAAGAAACAAAAGCAAGATCCTTCGATTCCCCCAGAGCGTGCCCGAAAAGGGACTCTCGGGTGCCTGCCGAGGTCCAGGCTGCTGCTCCTGGGAAAGGGGTAGCAAAGGACACCCCCAAAGACAGCCCCAAAGTGCAAGCTCCAGGCTGGAGCTCCACACGCTGGACGCTGCATGGTGCTGTGGCTTCCGATCTGCTTTCCCTGGGCGCCCCAAACTGGGACACTTGGGGCCATGGTTCCTGGTGGCACTGTGGCCCGGCTGGCGGGGGTCGGGACTTGGCCCCTCGCGCGCTCCCCGGTGAGCTCATGGGCGCCCCAACTGGTTACCTGGGGCCACAGGTGCGCGACCGAGGGGCGGAGGGGGCTGGGCACGGGCGCCGGTGGCGACTGCAGGTATCCGGCGGGTGGGTGGGGGACACTCACCGAGCGGCTGGACAGTCTTTTCCGCGAGCTGCGGCTGAACATGGCCGGGCGCCTCCGGCACGCAGCGCCGTCCGTCGATCTGTCCGTCTGTGCCGCGGCGGGGAGGGCGGGTCGCCTGGGCGGGCCCCCTCGGCGGCCACCGGCTGCTGTCTCCGCGCAGCCCCGGCTCGCGCTCGA